CACACACACACACACACACACACACACCGAGCTCCCCCACTGCGTCTCAAAAGAGCTCATCCTCTAGGTCGCTGGTTCGAAAGTTCAAATGCACCTGGAGTCATTTTTCAGCCAGGTGCGTGATTCTACTAAATAAAGTCGCAGACTTACAGCAGTTTCCCCCAATCAAGGGAACACTAGTTAGTGAAAATTAGAATATAGATAATACAAGAAATTACTTATTTTCTGCCAATCCGCGAAGTGACAGACTTTTCGCACCAGAAAATCCATGAATGATTATGGCCCCTGGCCGTTTCCGGTTTTGACATTAACCTGTTAAAAATAAATAAAAAATAAATAAATAAATTAGATAGAAAAATAAATAAATAAGAAAATAAAGTTGATCAGTGTCCACAGTTTGCTGGTTTGCTATCATGAAGCTCACTTGAACCCCCTTTCCACACAAGGCTTGAACATACATTACTCAGAGTGGCCCGTGTGCGGATGAATGCTCGTTTCAGCAGATTATTGTGTCCTCCCGTCACCGTCGATCTGCGCGGGCACTCTGACCGGTAGCTTTCAAGGCATCTGAAGTGTCTGATCCCACTCGCAGTGGGATCACTCAACTGTCCGGTGATGCTTGATTGGTTGATCCCCGAAGTGTCCGATCCCTTCAACAGTGGGATCGCTTGATTGCCTCGTTAGTAAAAGTGACAGATCCCTCCAGCAGCGAGAATGCGTGACTATCCGATAATCGAAAGGGTCTGGTCCCACCAACARCRAGAATACTAGTAATGTCTATTTACCACSTGGCTGCTCCCGCCAACAGCGRGGACAMAAGCAATGTTCAATTGCATGGTTGACGAACCTGGCCGCCCCCGTGAACATGCTCGATTACGGAATCAGTRAGGCTGACTATTCCCGCTGTCAGTGGGGATACTTGGAATTCTCGATTGYCAGATCAGCAATACTGGTTGTTCCCACTTTCAGCAGGGACACTTGTTCTTTCTYACACACACACARCGCACTCGCTCTCTCCYAGAGCACTCTCTCTCTCATCCAGCACACTCTCTCTCACTCACTGCACGGTCACTCTCTCTCTCACTCACTGCATAGTCCCTCTCTCTCATACTGCACAACCCCTCTCTCTCACACTTTGCACGCTCTCTCTCTCACGCAGTCTCTCACTTGCAAGTAACCGCTTGAGCGCCGACGCGTCCCCGCCTCGAGCTCGTCTCCCACTCTGCAACTGCTTGACGACGGACACACCTGGCATGCAATCCCCTTCCCTTCACTGTTCTCCCCTATATCCCCTTGAGTCCCATGGTCTGACCGACCAGGGCCTTCTCGGAGTGCAAGTGTGCAGGAAGTAGTCCGCCGCGCCACGGAGGAAAAAGAAAACAGTGGTACCGGTCTCACAGGCTCGGCGTCCACAGTACCCAGGCACCAGCTTCAGCCCACTGGCGTAGACAGCTCYGAYGAGTTTCGCAATGGTTCCGAGCCGAGATAGTCCCCTACATCCCCCTCCTTGCCACGGGCTTTAGCGGGTCAGTGATATCTGAGCGACTAAGCACTTAGGCCCGTAGTGGCCACGCCGTCGGGGCAGGGRCCCCCATGCGGATCCACCTGTACTGCCAGTTTTCGCACGGTACCTTGCGAAACCGCGTGGCCCTTCAGACCCTGCAGTACCAGTGATCTTCGGGTAGYAGAAGTAGTCCCTTGTGCCAGGCAAGCCGAACCCAATCCCACCAAAAAAAAAAMAAAAAAAAAAAAAAGTTTTGCAGCCAACCCCCCCTTAGTCTGCATATGTCTAAAGGTTAACACTTCTATCTGCCGCTGGCCACACTACCCGTATTCCGGCAGTTTGACGGTACCAAGTCCCATAGAACCGGAGCAAATGTGGCAATCTCCGACCGATCGCTGGATCAGCGCGCGTAAGTGTCCCTGGCTAGTACACACACGAAAATAGCGGTACCCCGTTGCGGTGTCCCATGGAACAAGTTGCGGCGTCACCATACCAATTCYGAACCTTGAACTAGCCAACTAGAACTTRTCTCGACGTTATATCTCAGCAATCCGTACCTGTCAATGTCAAACCCGGATCACTCAGTCGGGCTCGYTGTAATTCTTACCATACCGAAGCCGAACCTGATATAACCATCCGGGGATCMCGTGSCTCGYGCCGTGTCGRTACCGATCCAGTACCAAGTCTGAAAATGATGCTGTGGCGTGTACCACGCCAATGSCGAACCAATACCRTACCTGAAACATGTCGAACACGGCAAGATGCAGCGGCRCGGTAATAGTACCGAACCTGAAGTAAACCGTCGCAATGATCCCGGACCTGAAAATAAATCACCGCAGAGGTTCCGAAATAAACTGCCGTGAGGGCGTCGAACCTGAAACGAAAACACCGCGATGCCACCGAACCTGACCAAACCCGAAATCCAGTACCGGGCTGTTGTGCCATGCGGATGCCGAACCCGTACAATCATGCCATGATAACCTGTCCCAAACCTGATATAGAATGCCGCAACGTTTCCGGACCTGAAAACAAACTGCCGCCAAGGTTCCAAACCTGGAATAACTGTCGCAGTGGCCCCGGTCCTGAGAATAAATCACCGCAGCTGTCCCAAACCTGAAAATAAGTCACCGTAGTGAGACAGCTGTCACCGGGCCCATACCGTACCTGAAGCACGTCAGACACCGTAGGACGTAGCCACTCCGTAAAAACCCTCGTATCCGTACCGAACCAAACACCATAGTCGACCCAAGGCAGCACCACCCCATGCTGTCCATGCGACTCCTGCTCTCAGAACATCTCAACTGCGGTAATGTTAGTAATCAAGCACACCAGGGAAAGCGTCGCAGGGAACCTCGACCATCGGCAGTAGTGTTAACTTGTTAAAATCCGGGGAAAATGATCAATCCGGAGTCAGAGCTGATGGCGGGTAATCGAGGCGAAATTAGGCCAATCTCCCAATAGTCATGGGTTGCCGTTCCTTTCATCGTTTTTCATCATTCTTCCCTTTCCTTAATTCTATTGTCGGAAATAATAAAGTTACTGTAAGTTTCCCAAAGTTAAATTTCGATAAAATTTAAATAAATGGCCGAATTCCTTTTGTTTCTTTTCTCCTTTACTATTTTTAATCTTTTTCTATGTTTTTTAATTTCATTGCCGGGAACATAAAATAACAAGGGTATTCCCCTTTGAATTTAATGCCACGAAAAATAAAGAAATTAAGGGATATTATATTTTTTCTTTCTCCACTTCTGGCCTTGATCCCTTTTCCCCATCTTTAATTGTGGTACTAATATGGGCAAAACTTTGAGGCTTCATTTCGGCCCCGGTCGCGCCTAGTACGGCCACTCATCTCGTCGTCTTTGAGGGTTGCTCGTAAAGTTCAGCGCGCCCAAAATCAGGGGTGCCCTAAGCTCCCCTAATTTTTGCTGCCTGGTCAACCCGGAGCACCGTCAAAACACGGACTTGTCTTTGAGCCTAAGACCCAAAACCCCAGATTTCAGGCGGCGCACTGCTTGTGGCCGCCTGACACCGGTTCAGGACGTGTTCGGCAAGAGGGCGGCGGAGCTACGACTGTGGTCGGAGTACACTGTAGGGGCTGATGACACTCCAGACGCTGATGCTGACGACGACACGTCCGACGACCATGGACGAACGATGATGACGCGCCCATCAGTGGCGATGAGACGGCGGAGCGGGTGTATTTCACTTACGGTGGAGGACCTGACGACATGGCTCCACACACATCTGTCATGACTGACGATGTGCCGTCGGGTGGACAGGCCAGTGCCACCGACAGAGCCGCTAATCGTCGTGGACGACGTCCCCGTGGCGACGAGGACGCCGAGGAGCAGAAGCCACATCGGGGCCTTCGGCACACCGGCAGACGTTGGTAGGTCAGGAGCTCCGTACCGACGACTTTGATGTGCGGTGTCGGGGCAGAAACCCTTACAAGGGTATCTGCCGGTGTTTTGACGGCTCGCAGGAAGGCGTCATCCTATCCGTAAGATGACGGGGCGTCGGTGAGCGAAAAAGGGACGAAGTGAGGGTAATCCGCCACGGCGCGGTAAAAGATTTCATGGGTATCCCAACCCCTTGTACATATTTACATTTCCTTTCTTATCGGGTATTGACCCCGCGTCTGTCTCTTCCAAATCTGTTACTCAGACTCAAGGGTTGGGCACCCAAGTGGTTGTAGGAAGGGCAGTTGACGCTACCAATGCATACCGCGGCGGAAACTACTAAAGGAAGGAAGCCGAGATGACGGGGACGTCGGGGCTACCATTCCCCCTCGCCCCCACCATCATAACGATGCACTACAACCTAAACAAAAGGTCGCGGTGTGGCCCATCGACCTCACAATTCAGGGTTCATCGAAGGAAAAGACCAACGTCAAAAATACCTGGAGCACGACTGGAACATAGGGGAAAAGGGGGAAGTCTAAAAAGGAGGCGCTCAAATTAAAGGCCTATCCGGAAAAGACTGTTAAAGAAAGACCTACCCTACCGCAATTCCTATAAGACTCGAACCCCGCTCCTACGCCATGTATGTACGCCGTGCCATTTAGCTAGGCTAAGTGGGTGTCCAAGTAATATGACAAGAAGCAGTGAAGATAGGCGCGTCGAGACCACTCATCCCCCGACGTCCCTACCACTAGGACAATGCGCAACAACCTAAAAGGAATGAGGTCGCGCGATTCAGAACCCGACAGTTGAAAACGACAGCTTCGGACAATGGCTCGGAAAGGCGTGATGACGAGGAAAGCTAAGGGCTCAAGTAAAAAATTTATCTAGGAAAAACTACCGGTAAAAGCTTAACCCCACGCCGACGTTATACCTACCTACCCCGCTGCCCAAGCTAAGCTAAAGGGGTGTAGGCGGTGCGAGGGGGGGAAGCGCTAAGTAGAAAAAAACCCTAAGAAAACATGCCTCGGGAGAATTAGTGGGCTACCGGACATGTATCTTTCTTATAGGAGGGGCGCTCTTACAGGTACCATAGCGGAGGCTAGCCCAGTAGGTTCAGGGCCAGACTAAGAACTTTCAGACTAGTGGATCGAGTCCACACACCCCCGCCCAAGAGGCTAGCTCCCTTCTCTTTTTTTGCAGGACCGCGGAGTACAAGGGGATGACACTTCGGCGGTACTGACGGGGGGCCACGTTTTCCAGAACAAATGCAGGCGGCACCCCTGCCTATCCCACGGTAGAAGGTAGCCCGATGGGTTTGAGGGCGGACTGACAACCGCTATACACAGGGATCGAGCCCACGTACCCTCAACCGTTGGGCCGCCTCCTTTTGAGCGTGGCGATAGAACAGGAGGAGGACCCACGTCGAAACACGGCAAGAACTTCGGCCGCGCGATCCGAGAAATCCCTTGGCCGAAAATTAACCCCGCGCGCTTCAAAATTCTTCGATGAGTGCGGCCGCACAACAGGGGTTTGAAACGCGGTCCGTGGGATAACAGAAAAACAATAAAGCGCGTTAAAGGAGGGAGGAACTAAGAAGAAACAAAAAAAAAAAAAAAAAAAAAAAAAAAAAAAAAAAAAAAAAAAAAAAAAAAAAAAAAAAAAAAATTTCAAAAAAAAAAAAAAAAAAAAAAAAAAAAAAAGGAAAACAAATGGGATTTTCCCTGAAATGCTCGCGCGTGGAAAGACTCGAACTTCGGGCCGCAGAGAAAAAAGCCGCGTTAAAAAGAAAAAACGAACGAAATAAAACAAAACGAAAAACGACTAAAAGAAAAAGAAACAACAAAAAGAAAAAGGGCGAATAAAACAAAGGCGCTAGATGGCGCGAACACAGAAGGAGGCGACGAATCTCCTTTCTTTCCTTTTTTTTGTTTTTTATTTTCTTTGTTTTCTTCCGTTCCGAGTTTTGCTCTAATAAGGAAATCGGGAGCTCAGTGGGGCCACGCCTGAAGGAAAGATGGGTGCCCCACGCCCATACTGAGCCTGGATTCGAACCAGGGTGCTTGGTATAGCAAAGGGGAGGGGGTCGTGGCTACGGCTGGGGCAGAAAAATGGCCATGATGGCCCTCCCTTTGGCCTCAGCTGAGCCATCATGGGCTCCTTGCAGATTCAGCACCCCCAACATTGAATTTTTTGATCTTGGGGGTGGGGTTGAAGACAACAGCACATGGGAGTGGGACAAGAGGAATAATAGGCAGATTCCCGTCATTGAGATCAAAGGATTTCGTGGTTGGGAACCCATTAGAGGGGGAGAAAGGCTTAGGATGAATAGGGATCTAAGTCCAGCCTTTCCCCGACATACCGGCAGTGGGAAAAATAGTCAGGTACGTCAAACTTTAAAAACTCATAACGCCAACAATAATTGTCAGAAAAATACAAGAAAGACTATTTCGGAAATGAGACAGTGACAGTCATCTCGTGAGAATTA